CACGTACTTGAACCTGTGCGTAGAATCACCAAGAATGTAACAGCCACAAATACCCACAAGATACAGGTGTGTCGTGTGGGTGACTCAGATACCAGGAGAGGCGCCCCTGAAGTTGATGTGGTTTTCCCAGATGGTGAACCTCTCTTGGTAAAGTTCCAAATATAAAGTATTTTATATTTGGTGCAAACCGTATCCCCTTGGTTTGCACTCCAGTGGTATTCCTGGTCAATTCAGTATATGTTAAAACTGTGCAAAAATCTCCTGTGTTTATTTCAGAAAGGAGTTTGGTTCTAGATGCTGATAACTATGAATGAGCTTTTCCTCTCTGTGAATGCCCAGTGGCATGTTCTAAGTTATGTGGGAGGGTTCTTTTGTGGGTTGTTGTGGGAACGGCAGGGCGTCGGGCATTCCAGGTCCCCACTAATAAGTACCTGCAGCGCTCCCCACCCACTGTGGTGCTTACACAGGTCCCCACCCCCACCATTTCCAAGAGTGGCCCCACTGAGACCCACTGGTCTGGAAGAACGGCCAGGAGGACCAGGAACTGGGAGATCTGATTTCGGGTCAAGGCACCTTAGTACTTGCATGACCTTAACTCTGGCCGCCTGGGTCTCCTCTCTGAAAAGGGGTTATTAATATAATGACACGCTTGTCCTTGGTCTTTGGGATTGTGGCTCACTGTGCTCCCTCCAGGATCTCAGGTCAGCACGGAGCACCCATGTGTGCCCCACAGTGTGTGTCCCAGCCACAGCTCTCCCCCACTGTGGTTTTCTCCTGGGCGTTTCAACATATTTATGTCTCGTAGGGCTTCCCTGGTGGCTCAGATGATGAAGAAACTGGCTGCAATGCAGGGACCCAAGTTAGATACCCGGGTGGGGAAGATCCTCTGGAGAAGGGCATGGCAACCCACTCCAGTATTCTTGCTTGGAGAATTCCATGGACAGAGGAGCTTGGTAGGCTACAGACCATGGAGTTAAGAGTCAGACATGACTGAGTGATTTACACACACACACACACACGTCTCTCTTAATCTGGGAAGAAGGAAGGAGGAAGGGAGAAAGGATACCTCCCCCTGCCCCCATCTCTACTTTCCAGCAGCTTTTTTTTCTCTCCTTCCCTTCATAAGCAAAATTCTCAAATGAGTCACCTGTCCATACTGTCTCAGTCACAGCGGTCCCCAGGAACCTCTTTGCCGCTAACTCTCCTCAGTCCCTGTTTGGCTTGCCTCTGCAGTTGACTGTGACCCCTCACACTCTCCTGCCCCCACTTCCCCGGAAGGATCCCTTCCTGGGTGCTCTGCTCCCTCCCTGGCCCTTCCACAGGCTTCATCTTCCATCCTCTGTGGGCCCTGGATGTCACCCATTGCACCTTCTCCCCAGCAGGCTTCTCCTCTCTACCACTGCATCCAGTGGGGGATGAGACCTGCCTCCAGCCTAGAATGCTGTGGGCATCTCAAAATTAGAGCATCTCAAACACAGTTCACTGTGGATCACCTCTGATGCACACCTTTGCCTGCATCCTCTTCTCTCAGTGAATGATCCTACCATTGCCCCAGTCAGAAGTATGGGTGCCGTTCTCCTCTCTCTCTCTTACCTCCTTCCTTCCCACCCCCTGCCCCACCTCCAATAAATCTCTCACTGAGTCCTTTCAGTCCTGCTTTCCCAATAGTTCTAGAGTCTTTGCTAATTTGAGTTGGTTACCTGACCCTTGTTGACATTTAGGATTGCAACCTGTACTTATTGTTTGGCTGGATTAAGGTCTCTAGGGGCTCTCGGCACGGAAGGGCTTAGGGTTTCCTAAGTAATTAAAAATAACCTCATTCTGAATTATAATATAAAATAATGTTTTCAGAAACAAGAAAATTGATTTGTATACCAAAGCCACAGTAGCTTCTTTTTTATTCTCTCTCATTTGATCTTCTTTAAAATATTTTCCTCTGGTGCCCTACTGTGGCTGGTGGCCCTAAGTGTGTGTCTAGTGGACTGGTTTGGACAATCCAGGATCACTTAGAATGTCAGCCACCTGTGGCCTGAGATGTCTTTGCCTGTGGTTTTTGCCTCTTGGGTGTTTGTGTGTACCTGGTGGCATGACACAGATACTGAGTAATTGTTTAAGGAACATGTGAATGAGTGCATGAATAATGAGATGAACTTGAAGTAGGTTCATTTAAGTAAAAGGCACTGTCAGAAGTTATTATCATTACTAGGCTTCTGGTATTTGATGCTACAGTACAATTTCCAAGATTGTATATTTACAATGTTCTAAAGACAATCAGCGCCACTGTTGTGCTTCAGCTTTCATACTTCAACCCACTTTGCACTGAGTAGTCGGTACATAAAAGATGCTTATGAGGATTTATGAATTAATAAATAAATGAAGTTGCACAACATGATGGTTTGCTTGATTCCCTTTCCTACAGTGAGGCTGCTTAAAGAGACTCCATCACCTGCCCCTTATTTAAAGAGGTGCGTTATTTAAGGTGGCCACGCCCTGGGACATCCCTGGTGGTCCAGTGGTTAAGAGACCATGCTTCCATGGCAGGGGGCACAGGTTCGATCCCTGGTAGGGGAACTGCCATGTGGTATGGCCAAAAAATAGAAGAAAAAAACAAAGTGGCCACACTCAGCTGTGACAGACATGGTACTTGGGGGAGGGAGGCTGTGCCTGCATGAAATCTCAGAAGGGATGAACATGGTCTAAAGACCTAAAGTCAGGCAGTATGAATAGGACTAACCACAAATCTGGGCAGTGTAGGGGGAAGGAAATACCAGGTAATACCCAGGAGGCTGTGGTTTCACAAACATACCCTGACTCATTAGTATGGGCTTGTGGACAAAACAATTGTCAAAATATCTCCAGCAAACATTAACTACGTCCAAGAATAAATCTAAATAATCCTGTCCTCTGGTCCTGATAGGGTGGTCTCCTGGAAGATTGCTGATCTTGGGGAGAGAGAGGAGTAAACAGGTGGAGAAGTAAGAGAAGGGGAAGGCCCCACTGGAGAGGAAATGTGTCTATGAGGGACCCATTGACAGGGCTGGAATTTGGGGGCCCAGGTAGACAGCCGATGACCAGTGTCCTTCCTGGATTCACCCTCCATGTCTGCTCTACTACATCCCACCCCATCTAGTGGCAGGGGTTCCTTTGTTGTTGTCGTCATTTATCTAACTTTTTACTTGGAAGTAATTTCAGACTTATTTCAGAAGTAACTTCAGAAAAGTTGTCAGAATAGTACAGAACACGCATGCATGCTAAGTCACTTCCGTTGTGTCTGACTGTTTGCTGTAGGCCCCAGGCTCCTCTGTCCGTGGGATTCTCCAGGCAAGAATACTGGAGTGGGTTGTCATGCCCTCCTCCAGGGGATCTTCTCCACCCAGGGATTGGGTTCTTTACCACTAGTGCCACCTGGGAAGCCCACAGAATACACATATACTCTTTATCCAGATTCAATATATTTTAGCGTTTTGCTTTATCATTTATGTTCTCTCTCCTTCTTTCTCTTTTTCCTGAACCTTTTTAGAGTCAGTTACCGACATGGTGGCCCTTTCTCTCTGGATACTTCATGTGTGGATTCCTAAGAATAAGGATACAGTTTTATAATTTCTGCAGTATGTTGAACTTTAATATGACACTTTATCTAATCTGCTGATTTTATTGCAGATTTGTTGATTAACTTAATAGCATCCTTTACAGCATTTTCCCCCAGTCAGGATCCAACATGGCATTTGCTGTGTCTCTTTAGTCTCTTTTCATCCAGAACAGTTCCTCAGTTTTTCTTTGTCTTTCATGACATTGACATGTTCAAAGAAGACAGCATCCTTTTCACCTTAAAAAAAAAAAAAATGGAATGCTCTTCCCTTTGGAGTGGTCTGCTGTTCGGTCATGTTTAGACTCCAAGTTAGACATTCCCGGCTAGCATACACAGGAGTGATGTTGTGTCTTTTTCAGTATGTTACATCCAGAGGCACCAAATGTCCTGTCACTTTATGTGATGTTATGTTTGATCACTTGGCCAAGGTGTCCCATTTCTTCACTGTGTGTTTACTAATTTTTCCTCACTACTAATAAGCAGTCTGTGGGGAGACAAGACCATATGCATGTCTTACTCCGCATCTACATTTTGCCCCAAGACTTAGCAATCATCCACACTGGGTTTGCAGGTATTTCTGGATCCCACCCAAGGGATGGGAGGTTGAGCTGTCCGGGACCAGGTGACCTATTTATGAGGGCCTCGCCCACGTGGGAGGGCCTGGCTGTGCCACCCAGCCCTGTTGAGTAACCGCATCTCCATGATAATTTCCCTCTTCCTACCCCCAACAGAAACAGAAGCTCATTTGTCATTCACTCAACTGACAAATAAGAATGTTCTTGCGAAAGCTTCACAGCTTTATTTGGGCACGGTAGGGTATAAAAAGAAAGCTCATTCCTTCGATGCCTTTAAGAAGCCTACCATTGAGTTGGGGAGACAAGACTTGGTCACTGAAAGGTAAAGGACATGTAAGTCTTTAGTACTATGACCCCACAGGACAACTCAACAAGAGTTATCCTGTGACCCTGGAGAATTAGAGGCTCTTAGGAATTTGGGGGGAGAGGGATCAAAGTGGTTTAGGTAAGATTGATGCAGGGACCTTTCGTTAACAAGGGTCATCTCTGAGTGGGCATTGAAGGACAGGTAAATCTGGATAAACAGAAATAAGGGCACTCCAGAAGGGGAATGGTGTGCACAAAGGCCCAGAGATGAGAGTATGGATGAAGTGACTGGGGGATGGCGAGTTATGTACCAGCCTGGATGGGGCCAAGGGTTGCTGTAGGTGGCAGGAAAGAAGACATGCCTCTCAGGAAATTCCAAGGGTTTTAGGAGACCTGTGTCAGAAATCTAGTGAAGTGAAAGTGAAAAGTTCTTCCGTTGTGTCTGACTGTTTGCTGTAGGCCCCAGGCTCCTCTGTCCATGGGATTCTCCAGGCAAGAATACTGGAGTGGGTTGTCATGCCCTCCTCCAGGGGATCTTCCCCACCCAGGGATTGGGTTCTTTACCACTAGTGCCACCTGGGAAGCCCACAGAATACACATATACTCTTTATCCAGATTCAATATATTTTAACGTTTTGCTTTATCATTTATGTTCTCTCTCCTTCTTTCTCTTTTTCCTGAACCTTTTTAGGTCAGTTACCAACACGGTGGCCCTTTCTCTCTGGATACTTCATGTGTGGATTCCTAAGAATAAGGATACAGTTTTATAATTTCTGCAGTATGTTGAACTTTAATATGACACTTTATCTAATCTGCTGATTTTATTGCAGATTTGTTGATTAACTTAATAGCATCCTTTACAGCATTTTCCCCCAGTCAGGATCCAACATGGCATTTGCTGTGTCTCTTTAGTCTCTTTTCATCCAGAACAGTTCCTCAGTTTTTCTTTGTCTTTCATGACATTGACATGTTCAAAGAAGACAGCATCCTTTTCACCTTAAAAAAAAAAAAAATGGAATGTTCTTCCCTTTGGAGTGGTCTGCTGTTCGGTCATGTTTAGACTCCAAGTTAGACATTCCTGGCTAGCATACACAGGAGTGATGTTGTGTCTTTTTCAGTATGTTACATCCAGAGGCACCAAATGTCCTGTCACTTTATGTGATGTTATGTTTGATCACTTGGCCAAGGTGTCCCATTTCTTCACTGTGTGTTTACTAATTTTTCCTCACTACTAATAAGCAGTCTGTGGGGAGACAAGACCATATGCATGTCTTACTCCGCATCTACATTTTGCCCCAAGACTTAGCAATCATCCACACTGGGTTTGCAGGTATTTCTGGATCCCACCCAAGGGATGGGAGGTTGAGCTGTCCGGGACCAGGTGACCTATTTATAAGGGCCTCGCCCACGTGGGAGGGCCTGGCTGTGCCACCCAGCCCTGTTGAGTAACCGCATCTCCATGATAATTTCCCTCTTCCTACCCCCAACAGAAACAGAAGCTCATTTGTCATTCACTCAACTGACAAATAAGAATGTTCTTGCGAAAGCTTCACAGCTTTATTTGGGCACGGTAGGGTATAAAAAGAAAGCTCATTCCTTCGATGCCTTTAAGAAGCCTACCATTGAGTTGGGGAGACAAGACTTGGTCACTGAAAGGTAAAGGACATGTAAGTCTTTAGTACTATGACCCCACAGGACAACTCAACAAGAGTTATCCTGTGACCCTGGAGAATTAGAGGCTCTTAGGAATTTGGGGGGAGAGGGATCAAAGTGGTTTAGGTAAGATTGATGCAGGGACCTTTCGTTAACAAGGGTCATCTCTGAGTGGGCATTGAAGGACAGGTAAATCTGGATAAACAGAAATAAGGGCACTCCAGAAGGGGAATGGTGTGCACAAAGGCCCAGAGATGAGAGTATGGATGAAGTGACTGGGGGATGGCGAGTTATGTACCAGCCTGCATGGGGCCAAGGGTTGCTGTAGGTGGCAGGATCTATCCCTTACTGAACACCTACCTCATACCAGGCATTAAAAAAAAAAAAAACTTTTCTGATTCTACAAGTGATACATGTGTGGTGTAAGACGTTTAGAAAAATAGAGCTATACAAAGAAAAATTTTAATGAAGTCACTCTGTTCTTTCATCCAGAGATAACTAGTTAACCATGGTGTGGTTCCTTCATTTCTGAGATCTTTGACATTCTTCTGGCAGTGGCTCATTTGGGTTCATGGATTCAGGAGCCCTTCTTGTCTCTCAGAGGATATTAATCATACTTTGACAAACGTTTCATTCTGTTGACTTTACTAATTTTGTTTTCTAGCTAGAACTTGTGTTCTCTAATTTGGTGCTTCTTTGGCTGTCTTGGTTTTTGTCAAATGTTTGGTGAGTCTTGGTTGTGTTTCTCTCTCTGTATTTTGAGGTTTTTTGGTCACCTCTGCATGAATCCCGATTACATGCTCTCAAGCCAGCCACCCCTGTTTGGGGGCAGGAGGGTAGGATGCGGCCTGCTGGGGATGCAGGAGCTGTCTAGGTGTCCCTTTGCCTCAATGCCCTAATGTCCCTGGTGGAGGGACACCTGGGTGGAGACATGGGCCAGGGGCTGCTTGCCTGGCTGCTCCAGATCCCATGACCAACCACTCAGGGCCTCTCCTGGACCCCTAATCTGCTTGCTCCAAACTTGGAGTCCCCAGAGCCATTCCCCCAAATGTAGAATCCTTAGCCGCACTGCTGGGGTTCAAATCCTAGCACTGGCACTTACTAGCACTATGACCTTGGGAAAGCTATGTAACTCTGGGTCTTATTTGTGTGAGGAAAATAGTAGTCTCTGTCTCAAAGGATTTTTGTGAGGGTTCAATGAGATGTATGCATACAGCATATATATGTGCTGTATGAATGTCAGTTATTATTATTTTTCATGGTTATATTTGTGGGGGTTGTGGTTTCTCTATCAGTTTATTCTCATTTGCTTCCATCTTCAAGGATAGAATTCCCTCCTGTTCTTTGCTGTAATGGATTTATTCTTCTTAGAAAATGTCTTTTGTGTCACTTTCAAGGGCCTTGGGGGAGGTACACAGTTGCCCCTGGTCTGCCATCTTGATACAGTGATACATTTCCTTCAAATCTTCTTCAGTGAGCTGTATGAGTCTTATTATTATCTGTAATACGTACACGAAGGCATCCATTGCCGTCTCTCTCCGCTCACCCAGGAGCCTGGCCGAGGGCAAGACTTGCCACCTGGTCTGGGATCCTGGATGCTGACTCTGTCTTGTGCAGGCCTGGGAGGGGATGAGTCCTCTTCTGGGCCTTCCTCAGGCTGGTTTGAGGCTGTCCTAATGAATGTAATGGGTCCTCTGCTTCCTTTGTCAAAAGGAATGTTAATTATTTTCAGCAGTCTAATTATGTGGCTAATGAGAGCCTGGCTGAGATAACATTCCCTTTAATTACTCTTGCCTAAGTGCTGTTTGGAGCCATATCTGAATGTGTTGCAAAGCTTGGTACTTTCACAGTGGATGGAGCTGTTTGGGAGAAGCTGGTCCACAGGGACCAGGGTTGCAGGACTTAGGGCCCACAGTGGAAGCACCTGGCTGCAGTCAGTGCCCAGCCTCGGGTATGCTGGCCTGTCCTCTGGGCTGTTACCTAAAGGGATGATCAGATCAGGTCATGTACGGAGTAGACAGCAACCATCACAGCTCCTCCTGAACAACTCACTCAATCTCCCCCCCTAGGGCACCTGGCCTTCAGGATCCTCTTGGCCAAGCCTCTCACTCTTGGGGGACCTGCCCCCTGCCCTTTCTCCCATTCAGTACTTGGATTTTGAGTTCCTACTGTATGTCAAGTTTTATCCAGGACATGAGAATGCAAAGATAAGGAACCCATGGTCCAGATGGCTTTCCAAAACCAAAAATTTGATCACACCCTTCTCCTCTTTGCCCAGGAGCAATGTCACATGTCTGTGTTCTGACCCCTACCCCCTTCCAGGGTTTATCTTCTGTACCATGACGTTCCTTTGGTTCTGATGTGTTCTGAGGTGTCTTTCAGTAACTGGGCCTTCGTGGGCAGATCCATGGAAGGCATCTCTCCCAAGCTCTTGGGTGGGCCTGAGTAGGCTGGAAGGGGCACGTCATATGAGATTGTTTGCTGTAAGAATGAAGGGGCAGCTGTAGGTGGGCTGTTGCCATAGGAGAATTAAGTGCTCTGACTCCTGTCCACACATCCGCATCTCTCATGAGTGATGGGAGGGGAAGTGCTGATGAAAACCTCGGTCCTCCCATTTTCCAGCTGTCATTAAGCCTCTGAGCCTCCCTTGCCTCCTGAGTCAATCCACGTCATGGGTTCATGGAGGGGACCCATGAGACGACCTGTGTGGCACCTTCCCAGCATGTAGAGGGTGCTCAATAAATGGTTTGGAGTTAAGTTTTTTTTTGTTTTTTAAACATTCCAAGCAGCAGCCCCTACGCTGAGTTACAGCCAAACATGCAGGGACGGGTCTCATTCACCAATGGCCAGGGCCCTCTCCTGGCCTCTTGGATAAAAGTCACTCTTCAGACAGTAGAGAGTGACTCTCTTGGAACAAGGGTTCATTCTCCCCCATCTCACAACGGCAGCCGTGATTGACTAGGCCTGAGCTTGTGGGAGAGAAGGAGAGCAGGGTGTCTGTGCAGAACACAAGGATTTCCAAGAACAAGGAAGTGAAGCTCAGCCTTAGGTCTGTATGTTTGCCAGCCTTTTGGTCACCCTTGATAATTCCGAGAGCAATGTCCAGTGGAACTTTCTGTGATGATGGAAACGTTCTACCTCTGCACTGTCCAATATGGTGGACACTTGCCACATGTAGCTCTGCGCACTTGAAATGTGGCTCCAGTGACTAAGGAACTGGATTTTTAAATTCTATTCATTTTTAGTTAATTAAAGTTAAATTTTAAATAGCTATATGTAGCTATCAGACTGGTTAGTGCAGTTGTGCAGTTTTCAGAAAATTCATCTCTGAGTACTTCATGTTCTTGGCTTGGGCCGCATCTCTAGGCTACTAGTTTTCACATGTCCTGTCTGCAGAAGATAGTTGAGTGTGCTGTTGGCAAAGGCCAGGTGAGTCAAGGGGCAATGACAAAAATCAGTGACCAGAAGGGCAATTTGGAACCTCCAGAGCTAGAGCCATCCTGCTGAGATTCACTGACTGTGCTGGGCATCTGACCTTCTTATTCCACAGTTCTGCCCCCTTACAGTCTGCAGGGGGCAAAGCCGCTGGTTTTCACAGCAGCAGAGATGGGTAGGTGGTGCTCAGGTATGTGATTCTCATGCCAGCTAGGTATGTTCCAGATGATGGAAAAACTACCTGTGCTGGTCAGAATTTTCTTGATCACAAGTGACAGAAAATCTAACAGACTAGCTGGAGAAAAAAGGAATATCTACTTTCTCGTTAAGGTGAAACACCCGGACTAGAGAGGATTTGGTAAAGTTACTTAAATTCTCTTGATCAGAAGCAGGTGGAAATTCTAGGCCATCAGTCAAAGGATTTTGTCTTCCCTTCATTGTTCAATACAATTGCCAACAACAACTGAAGGTTTCACAATTTCCAGCCCCTGACCACAGAAAGAGTTTTCAGTGGGCTGGCTGTATTTACTTGGCTCCTGAGCACTTTGCCCTGACCTAGTATACCCTGTAGGGATCACCAGAGGACTCTGGGGACAGGGAATGTCAGAACCCTAATTACACAAAGCTTGTTTAGCTTGTTTCTGCCTCAGGATCTTTGCACTTCTGTTCCCTCTGCCTGGAATGCTTTTCCCGACACTCTTTGCAAAGCTTCTCTGCATCTTTCTGACCTATGCCCGATGCTAGCTCCTTAGAGAAGTTTAAGACCTGTCCTCCAGCATCTAGTTTCTTTCTGTCCCCTACCAGGCCTTTCCCCTTCTTCGTGGCCTGATATCAGACATTACAGCATGTGCGGGCTGGCTTCGTTATTGTCTGTCTCCCCACAGAGCTGCGAGCATCAAGGGGGCAGGAACCTCGCCTTGTTCACAGTGGGTGTAGTGCCTGGCCTTCAGCAGGTGCTTGGTCAATGTTTGTTGACTGCTGGAATACGACACCTCAGATGAAGAAACCAGCCTCCACAGGACTTCCTGGACCCAGTCCCCTGGTTGTTTAGAAATCTCCGGGGGTGGTTTGGCTGCAGAAGGCTGTGAAAAGTAGGGCATTGGGTGTCACGCTGTTGACAACGTCCAGACTTGTCCTCGCCCTGGGTTTCTTTCTGCCTTCCCCGGGAAGGCGACGAAGGGGCAGGGTCTCCATTGCTGCAAAGGTAGGGTGCGGTGGATTTACCTGTGGGACCGCCTAAGGATGTGAGCAGTAATAGGGAGAAACCAGATAGATGAATTCCTGCTCAGTGTGTGGGGGAGGCCGTGAGGCCACTGTCGTCTCTTCCTGTCCAGCTGACAGCAGGAACCTGGCTGGGGTCACGTGATGAGGATCCCAGGGCCCCTCAGCTGCAGCCAGTGGGATCTGCATAGGGGATTATTGGCAGAGGGGGGGAGGCGGCTCTGTACAGTAACACACGCCTCGCTCTGGGACGGCGGCCAGGCAGCTAATTAGAGAGCCCAGCAGCTGTCCAGCCTTTCAGGCCGGGAGCAGCAGCCACCCAGGGCCAGGGGGTGGGATGGGAGGGAAGGCAAGGAGCGAAGGGTCAGAGACCACCCTCTAAGGTGTAGGGGGATGTGGGCAGGCCTTCAGGGTTGGTTCTGGGGGGAGAAGAGGAGTGGGGAGTTGGGGAGAGTAGGCTGGAGAGTGGGGAGGAGGAAGGAAGAAGAGAAGGTTATCAGGACAGCGTGGTCTGCAGGTGAGGCAGAAGACCCGGGGTCGGGGGCGGGGGTGGGCGGTGAGATGTCCAACAGGCAGGGAAACCCAGATTCCAAGCCCAGGGTGAGGGGAATGGAGTGGAAGGACATGGCCAGGTGGAGTGGTGAACCCATCCCCTATCTCCACCCTTTCTTCCGCATGCCAGTCAGGCCACAGGGCCTGGGGCTCCTTGCTCCCCAGAGGGAGCTGACCACACTCGGCCCTCCCACCCCACCTCACCCCACCCCGGGGGTTCACACCTTGGTTTGGGAAGTTGCCAAATCCACTTGCTTCAGGGTTGGTCTTACTACAGGACAAGTAAAAGCAAAAGGGAAGAACTGGGGAGGATTTGCATAACCAGAGCACAAACCAGTGAGTCTCTGGGGCATCTTCTCTTTACCTTAAGTGCACCTGGTTGGGGGAATCTGTGGAAAAGAATAGAAGAGAAAAAGGCATGGTGTTTGCCTGCCGCTTTCTGGTTTCAGTCTTAGGTTCTGAGCCATTGAGAAGGGTTGGGAGGGAGGGTACATTGGATTTTGAGGTTCTAGTCAGAGAAGCAGAGATTCAATCCTGCAAGCCCAGCTTACCCTAAATAGTTACAGGGGAGGAGAGAGAGCATTGTGGTGGGAATTTCCTGCCAGCAGCTGCTGGTTAAACCTCTTTGGGAGATGAATCCTATGTATATGAAAACTGGATGCGCCTTTTGAGAGTGCCAGCACATCGTAGAAATAACAGAATAGGTGTTGGTATTCTCTGACTTGAACCTGAGCTTGGCCTCTTGCCCATGTGAGAGCCTGCAGTGAATCCCAGGATGCCTAGGACGCTCTGTTCCAGCCCCATCTCTCCTTTTATGTCTTCTGTATTGTCCAGACCCCAGGCACTCACCCCATCTCTCCTCACCTTAGGCTGGGTGATGGCTTTTGGAGGTAGGAGAAAGGATAGCAAGCACCCTTCTTTCTTTCCTCTGCAGAGACAGCCCTGGCCATTGTAAACCAATATTTACATGCTTTGTGGGAAAGAACCCTTCTGTGATGGTGACCTAAAAATTAGAGAAGATACAGGGCTTCCCTGGTGGCTCAGATGGTAAAGAATCTGCTTGCAATGCAGGAGACTCGGGTTCAATCCCTGGGTTGGAAAGATCCCCTGGAGAAGGGAATGGCTACCCACTCCAGTATTCTTGCCTGGAGAATTCCATGGACAGAGGAGCCTGGTGGGCTACATACAGTCCATGGGGTCGCAAAGAGTTGGACAATGACTGAGTGACTTAACACTTTCAGGCATCATTATATTTGATTAGTAACACTGGATGTTGCAATCACCCAGTAATTTAGCTGGAGCCTTCTCTACCTTGCCTGTCCCTCCATCCAACAGAAGTTCCATGGTTTCAAGGGATTCACCATATGAAGGGGGAAACAGACACTGAATCATTTTAAGATGGGACCATATGTTTCAATGGGAGGATGTTCAATGCCCTGTAGGAACATCGGTGATGGAATAACTGGGGGACTGTGGAAGGATGTTGTCACGAAAGAATGAAGAGGGGCAGGATCTCAAAGGAGGCGTGGGTGTGATGGGCTGCGGAGGAAGGCAGTTAGAGAGAGCTTGAACTTGAACGTGGTCTCCTTCAAGCTTCTGGGGCATCTGGTAGTGTTGAAGATGCAGCTAGACAGACAGACTCAGCAGTATGTTTTTGAGTAAGCGGCTTACGGAACGGACTAAGTAGATTACACTCAATGAAGGACAAGCATGTGCGGACATGGGTCTTGAGAATGAAACTAGGATGGGAAGCAACTGGAAGGAATGCCGTGTGGAGAGAGGGGTGACTCTGGAGCCCCAGGACCAGGGTTTGAATCAAGTGTGTGGATTTGGCCTAATCGCTTAATGACCTAAAACTCCATGTTTTCATCTTTAAAATGCAGCAGGGTTGGGGACAGGGTGGGAGGTAGACTAATTCCTGCCTTCCCTGCAGGAGTTTGGGGAGAATCATGAGAGATGATACACTTGAAAAAGTGTAAGTTCTACTCCCATGTTAGTTGTCTAAGGGCTCTTCGCCCATTCCTCTCTTCCAGAAACTTCTGGTTCAGGTCATGCTGTCCACAAGGGAGCATGCCCTCTATACCCTGGGACCCAGTCGAAGGGGCCAGGGAGTGTTGGAGGAGTCTGGGAACAGCTGGTACACTTGGAGGCAGGGGTGGGACCCCATCAAGTCCTTATCCAGCACCCCCACCTCCCCCTGGCTCAATAGAGGGAGAGCCTGCAGATGAGGAAGGAGGGGGGGCTCCAACCTGAGGAGGAGCCCCAGATGGACCCCGTTTTGACTGCTGCACCTCATCTGCTGGGGCGGCCCCGCAGCCAGTGAGGGGCTCCCAGGGCTGACTGCAGGCAGGCTGTGCTGCCAGGATGTGGGCTTTGGCTTCTGTTTCTGTTTGGGTTTGACTTGTGCTATTAAGGAGGCCTGCTTAGGGCCCAGAGAAGGGGAAGTGCCCGTGAAGGGGAATCAAACTCCCCAGGCATTGGGCCATGGTGATGCTGGGGGTGGAGGGTGTGCTGGACATGCCGATGACAGGTACGTGCCAGGGTGACCCCTGCCCACGGTCTGGCAGGCTGGGAGAAGGGAGGGTGGGCTCCTGTTTGTGGAGGAGATGGGGAGGGGCTGAGGCCAGGACAGCATAGGAACCCACAGCCCCTCACCCACTCTGTCCTTCATACAGAGGCTCCCGGGAGAGAGCCGGGGGTGCACAGCTTTCCTACCCCAAAGTACATGCGCACACAATGAATTTCAGTTCCCCAAGCCCTGCCCTTTCACTTCTCTTGGCTCCCCTGCTGCCTTGCAGGTTGTCAGCTTTGGAAGCAAAGGCCCAAGTCACCCCTGCTCAGAGGGCCTGGCGGGTAGAGGCAAGGAGGAGGGTGGCCATGGGTAGCAAGCAGCTCAGGTGGTGCCTCTGTGGCTCACCCTGCTTGATGTCCCCTAGGTATGGTGACAGCTCCCCCCGGTCACACACTGTTCTCGGTTTCCGAGCAGCTGGCCCCTCCTTCTGTAGGACTGGGCTGTCCTTGGGCTCATGCAGAAGGGGCAGTGTCCCAGGGATTTTCAGTGGAAGCTTCAGCACTTTCATATTAAAACAAAAATGTTGTTTAGTTGCTCAGTCGTGTCTGACTCTTTGTGACCCCATGGACTGCAGCACACCAGGCTTCCCTGTCCCTTCCCTGACTATCTCCCAGAGTTTGTTCAAGCTCATGTCCATTGAGTTGATGACGCCATCCAACCATCTCATCCTCTGCTTTCCCCTTCTCCTGATGCCCTCACTCTTTCCCAGCATCCGGGTCTTTTCCAGTGAGTCAGCTCTTGGCATCACACGGCCAAAGTATTGGAGCTTCAGCTTCAGCATCAGTCCTTCCAATGAATATTCAGGGTTGATTTCCTTTAGGAAACAAAAAGAAATGTTGAAATTTCTACCAAATGGTCAAGTCTTAGGGCTATATTAAAAATATATATGTGGCAAGGGATGTCATAAAGTCAGATTTACATCAGCTTGTAGTCAGTCACTGAGGTTAACAGGAACAGTCTGACAATAATAAAAAAAATAATAGAATGAATTAAGTTTGAGTGAGTGGGGTTGTGGGGATGGGGCTTTGGCACACATTGTGTTGGTGAGCTTGTTTTTCCAGGTATAATTGTGCTTGGCTCCCCAAATGCTAAAAACAAATGTCCTACATTGTCTGTCTTCTGTGAGGTTCTTGACTGCCCTTGAGAACAGATGTACCCACTACAGGGTGAAGGTGAGAGTGTAATTTGAAGCTCAATTGAGAAGGGAACTGGATTCTAAAATTATATCACCACTTGGATTTACAAATGTGCACACATTCACTCATGGCGCAAGAAGCGCTGCGTCCTAGCCCCCATGGGAGTCGCCTGGGATCCTTGCCTGGTTCTCATCACCGGATTAACCAGACCTGGGTGAGCAGGATGGCCGGGAGGAGGTGGCCGGCACCAGGAGAGGGCCCCGTGGCCTGGGCGTGATGCGCGTCTGGTGCTGAGCCAGTGCCTGGAGTTGTCATGTTTGCCTTGAGGTAGCCGCTCTGACTGGTCTGGTAGCTCAGATCTGGGGCAGTTTAAGCTGATGAACTCCTCCTCTTTAATTCCAGGGATAAATGGAAGCCACCGGCCCAGTAGCCAAGGATCAGCTGAGCCCTGGGGCTAATGCTTGCTCACACTGTTGAGAATGGCACTGCGGCCCAGCCAGGCACCGGGACAAAGGTTAACCCGGGACACTCGTGGCCAGTGATCCTGATGTCTGTTCAGAGCCGCGCACTCAAGGGTGTGATAAGTGAGTATGTTACTGGCTCCCAGGGGAATCACTGGCCCTTCCTGCCTCAGCGGCACAAGCACACGTCTGGAGATTGAACTTCTGAGCCTGCTTCCCATCCGAGGGCATGTCACAGGGTTATGTTTTGGAATGAGAGGGCGTTTTCCAGCAGTTTCAGGCCATGTCACATGCCAGAGCCGTCTTACAGCTACATGGCTTCTGAAAACCAGGCCAGAGCCAGTTGAGCTGAGTGATGGGAGACACCCAGCCCCAAGGAGACGGCAACTTTCCCAATTCTTGTTCTCATCTGTAGGCTCATGGATGCATTGGGCCCTGGGCTTCATCTCTGTGCAGTGGGAACTGGATCTTACCTAGGCTTCCAGACTCTGCCCAGAAGCCAGGAGTGGATCATGTGGCTTGGGTAGGGCATCCGGGCCACTGGATGGGGAGGGATTTGTGGCGTCTTGACTGCCATGAATGTCGTCAAGAGAAGCAAGTCCTCCACTGCTTCCAAGTGTTTCAGCCACGTCTCTTCCTCAGTCCAGAGGAGCGGCTCTAGGGCGAGGGCCCTCTGGCTGCGGAGTCTCCTCTGTCCTCGCACAGCCTTTCTTTCCAGCCTCAGCCTCTGGCTTTTCTTTGAGGACACTTTAAAAATTGACAATTGGGTGCTTTACCCAGAGGCTGCCCAGCCTGAAGGCTCATCTGCCTGAACAGGGCAGTCAGCCCCACTGAGGGATTCAGAG